GCTCCTGAGCCCGCGCCCGCTCCTGAGCCCGCTGTTGCTCCTGAGCCCGCGCCCGCTCCTGAGCCCGCTGTTGCTCCTGCTCCTGAACCGGTCGCTGAGCCCATTCCTGAGCCTGCTCCTGCGGCCGAGCCGGCCCCCGAGCCAGCTCCTGAGCCGGCTCCCAACAATGTCGAAGAGGATGCGGTCGTCGTCATCAATGCTGCCGGCGAGGAGGAGCCGGAGGAGCCGGAGAAAACCCAGCAGCCCCAGACCCCTGCTGACGGTCGTCTGTCGGACACCATGGTGGTGGTCGACTCGCCCGAGAGGGCCGACCAGAAGGAGGTCTTCTCCAGTGACCTCAGCCTGCTGGCTCCCCTGCTTGAGGACATGTACTCGAGCGAACGTCTGGGACAGATCTCCACCCTCGTGAGCAGCTTCGCCCTGCATCGTGCTGTGCCCGAGGACACGTGCACCATGTGCGCCGACAACATTTCCCAGGACCAATGGTGGGTCCTGCACCAGTGCAATATCCACATGTCCCACCTCAACTGCTTTGATGAGGCGCTGGAATACTTCAGCGGGACCGGCACGGCTTGCAGTGTCTGCATGCGCCCGTGATCCAGATCCGCGAGCTTGTCACACCTGCTGGCCAGAGTGCTTCTTCCCTTCTCTCCATCCGTCCCCCCCCCCCCCTGGTGGTGGGGGTCACCGAAGACGGGGGCAAAGCCACTTCGTCGCCCCCGCCCCCCTGCACATTCTCCAGCAAACCTCCTGCCAGGTTTTCCGAAGCCGCTGATCTGCATCTCTCTCTCTCTCTCTCCCTCTCCTTCTGAATCAGCGCCTTCATGTATTTTTAGTCCTCCACATTCTCCCTCCTCCTGCCTGCGGGGCGTCCTTGCCCCTCGCCCTCCCCTCCCCCCCCCCTCCTCCTCCTGTCCTTGTTCGTGAGCACCCGTCTCGGTAGCCTGGCTCCTCCCGGTCTTCGTGTCCCCTTCTCCCGAAGGGAGTGTTCTTCCCGCCTTTTTTTGTGCAATGCCCCCAAATACATGTGCCTCTCTTCTCGCTCTGTCGTTTTTTCACCACCTCCGGCGCACTGGTCCCTCGTATACACACTCTCTATCTATTGCTGCGCCCGACGCGCACGCCTGCCGGTCTTGGCCCGTGTCCCGCCCCGTGTGGATCATGCCCGCGATTGGGCCACCAGCTTGTCCGGCTCGCTGTACAGCAGGACACTGGCAATCACGATGGACGCGCCAATGACAAAGATGGCCGTGATGTCGAAGTCAAACCAGACACTGGCCACGGTGCTGGAAAAGACGATGGAGATGCTGGTGGCGAAGCCCTTGGCAATGTTGTCCGTGTATCGGACCACCGCCGCCACCAGCAGGCCCCCGAGCGAGGCCACGGCCACCAGGGTCCACGTCAGCCAGGTGTACCCGCCGAAGAAGCCCTGCTGCTGCAGGCGCCCCCCATCATAGTAGAGCATGGCAAAGAGGCTGAACAGCAGCCCCCACAGCGACAGCTGGAGATTCCGGCCAAACAGGCTGGAGGCGATGCCGGCCACCGATGCCGGGGCCGGGGCCTTGGAGGGGGGATGATAGAGGTGATGCGAGGCGGACCCGCCGCCGGCGCCACCACCGCCGGTCACTCCGGCGCCCGAGGGGGCGGCGAAGTAGTTTGCGGCCTCCGGGCTTCCGGCCCGGGACCGGGGGGCTGTCTGTAATTCGGTCAGCACAGCTCCAACACGGGGGCTACCGCGGGGATCATCGACACCGGCCGTCCCAGCTCCGGAAGTGCCATGCAGCGGCATGGCCGTCAGACTGCCGCCAGCCTGGGCCAAGGGATACATCATCGGGGCCGAGCCCGGACCTGGGAGAAGGCCCGCCCCTTGGGACGATGGGCCGGCGTCTGGCGGTGGCACAAGGGCCGGCCCTGCGGCCGGCGGGGTCCGGCCCTTGAGAACCCGCTCAAAGTAGACCCCAGCAAAGCCAGATGTGGCACTCAGCACGCAAACCACCGCGAAGCCAAGCAGCGTGTTGTCCCTGGTCTGGGCGGCGGCCGCAGCCAGCTCGTCCCCGGGGCCCGAGCAAGCGGGCTGCGGCAATTGGATGAGAACCACACCGAGGAAGAGCAAAAGCAAAGAAATCCACTGGGAAATGGTCAAGCGCTTGCCGAGCAGGGCCACCGAGAAGAGGGCCGTTGTGATGATCTTGCTCTGGTACATGACCTTCGAGGGGAGCGAGGCAAGATGTCAGGGCCGGGGCCCGAGGGCAGCACGAGGGGCAGAGAGAGAGAGAGAGAGAGACGGCGGGCGGGGGGCGGGATCAGGCGCAGACAGGCAGGGGGTGGCGCATGAGATGCGGTGTGCGGCTCCTCGGCAGGCGGCGGGAGAAGGGACAGCCGTGCCGCCGTCACGCACCTGGAAGGTAGCAGCCTCCAGATTTTGGAGGGCCAGGAAAACCAGGTTATTCTGCAAGGCATACAAGCCGGCCGGAACGGCCATGGGCCAGGACGATCGGACGAGAAGACGCATGGCACGCATGGCCCGAGTCATGCGTGTGTCCAGGCCGCGCGCCTTGACCATTGGCGAGGCCAGCGGCAACTCGGACGCCCTGGCCCCGGGCCCGGCGGCGCCCGGGCGCTCGAGCAGCCCGTGCATCACCACCGCCACCGACACCAGGAGCTTGATCAGCTCCCCCAGGACCACGGTCGTGCTGGGCAGGTAGAGCACTGTCCCGGCTCCGGAGGGCCCGGCCGAGCGCGAGTATCGAATCAGCAGCGCATGCACGCTATTCTGCAGGACAAGCAGCACCAGGGACAGCCACTTGAGGAACTGCGGCGATCGGAACCACGCAAGTGGCGACCCGCCACTCCCGAGACGCCGGCTGGCTCCGCCGGTCAAGAGCATGGGCGGCGCTCGGGCCTCGAAGTGGGCCGCGACGCGCGGTTTCCCCGGGGGCAGCCCCGGGGCGGCCTCCCCGGCCACCGCCGGGTGCAATACCTCGCTCGACCCGGGATGCGAGTGGGTCATGGACGGTGCGGGGGCCGCGGCCGTGTGCGTAGGCTGACGGGCCGGAGCGAGGGGCAGGGGAGGGGCAAGGTAGGGCGAGGGAGGAGCAAGAGGAGCTAGGCAGGCAGGAAGGCAAAGCAGGGGGAGGAGTGGGGGGGCTGGATGGAGAGGGCAGTGGACGACCGAAGTGAACCGCCTGCTGGGCTCGGCTCCGAAGAATGGCCATTTCCAGGCCGGCGGTGGGAGGGGG